ACCAGAGAAAAGGCCAGACGAAGCACAAGGAGAAGGGTCGGACGGAGAGGAGACGGGGGGGCATGTCGGTCGCCTGTCGGCGATGCAACAGCCGCCGTGTCACCGCCTCCCCCGTGGGAACCGCCCGTCAAACGGAAAGGTTGCGCCACATCTGCATAATCATTACCACGGCGACAGAAAGTCATTGTGGGAAACAATCAATGTTGTTTTAAGGGATCTTTAAAAAAAACAAAAAACGGGTTGAAGTGTCTTAAAGAAGATCAAGTGTCTCGGCCGGAGGAACGGCAGCGCCGGCAGTTTTACCGGAAGCTGCGGAGGAAACGCCTCGGAGGTTTTTATTAGAGACGAACACTTGGAGCTGGTTTTTCAGTAAAACAGAGTGAATCAGAGGAGAGTTCTGCCAGCTCACTGAGGGAACACTGCTCGACTTCAGTGTCCACCATCGCTGTGGCTGTTTGACATCATAACGGAGCTTTTATTCAACATTAAACATCATGCTGGGCCAATAACACACCGAAAGTTTACATCCGAATACCACTCCTGGTGTAAATCAGCAAACATTATCATCCAAACTAAAGCAACTATGTAACGATCATATCATCGACTGTTTATAGGACGTCGGTGTTGTCACTGTGACGTCACACATTGGTTTGTGGACTAACGTTTTTAAGTCTCGAGTTTGGAATATTGGCCGTCCCCCTCTTGGTTTTATTCGTCACCATCTTGTTTTTGGCCATCGCCATCTTGGTTTCAGTCGTCACCATCTTGTTTTTGGCATCGCCATCTTGGTTTCAGTCGTCACCATCTTGTTTTTGTCCATCGCCATCTTGGTTTTATTCGTCACCATCTTGTTTTTGGCCATCGCCATCTTGGTTTTATTTGTCACCATCTTGTTTTTGGCCATCGCCATCTTGGTTTTATTTGTCACCATCTTGTTTTTGTCCATCGCCATCTTGGTTTTATTCGTCACCATCTTGTTTTTGGCCATCGCCATCTTGGTTTTATTCGTCACCATCTTGTTTTTGTCCATCGCCATCTTGGTTTTATTCGTCACCATCTTGTTTTTGGCTGAGAGATGAGAGGCCTGTCGACGGAGTGTCTGGACCAGGGAACGAGGTGGTTGACTTGCAAGAGAATTTTAGTTTTTATCTTGAACTATTGGACTTTTCTGTCTTTATCTTGTTTGTCTTTATCGTTCTTACACAAGGCCTTGCTTCAATGCTGTTAGTTTTAGGAATAAAGTATATAATATTGGATAATTTGTGAATAAATTATTCAACGTGTGCTCCGTCTTCTCCAGGTCGTATATTCTTTACCGGTTATGTGCTAAACGATGTACTTGTTTACTTGCTGAAAGCTAAAAGCTGTGTTACTGTTTTGACCTTCAGCAAAACACTTTATGTTTTAAAAAAGAGAAGATTTAAAAGATTAGATGAGAAGCAAAAAGTGAAAAGGAAACAAGTGGGAGAGGAAAGTAATGAAGAGAAGGAAATGAGATGATAGGGGAGGAGGAGAGGAGAAGGTAATAAGTAATAAGAAGTGGAGGAAACCAAGAGGAAAGAGGAGAAAAACAACAGATATGTGACAAGAGAGAGGAGACAAAAAGAGGAAGATGAAAGAAGAGAGGAGGAGGAAAGAAGTGAGAAGGAGACGAGAGGTAAAGGATGGTGATGAAGAAAGCAAAGGAAAGGAGTTGGAGGGAAAAAAAGAGTAGGGAAGGAGGAGAGGAGAGGAGAGAGGAGAGAGGGTCCTCCTCTATCAGCAGATAAGAGGCAGAAATGGATGAATCCTATTGGCCGGCGAGCCTCTTCCAGCCTCTTATCTCCTCGCCATTCGTGAACTCGGGACACATTTCATAGAAATTTGCGAAATCAGGAAAGCTGGGTATCATGTCATCTATCACCGGGCGACACCGGCCCATACATCCTCCCGGCTTCACAATAAAAGCCACAATTGACACTTTTGTTTAAGGGGGGGGGGGGTGTTCTTAACAATTATATGCTGCAGCAGCTACACAGCAGCAGCTTTGGGTTTCTTGTTTGTTGTTTTCAAGGTCAAACTAACTGAATTCAAGACTTTTAAAAACTACCGAAGTCGCTCATGAATCACATTTGTTTAAATGGAAAGTTTGACTGTTGATTGATGAGCTAGGAGAAGAAAGAGAGGATGAAAGACAATAGAAAAAACATGAATTAACAGGGAAACATTACGACAGGAGGGAGAGGATAAGACAACGAGGAAGACTGAGGAGAAGAAAGAGAGGAAGACGAAGGACAGCAGGACGCTGAGGGGAGAAAACAATGAAAAGAACATCATTTCTAGGCCCAAAGTCCCGACAATAAGGAAACCCGTTACTGCAGCAGTGACTTGGAGAGCTCCACTACTCTCACTGTACACTGTGTTCAATCTACACAAGGAGGTTCTGTAAATATCTAAGTCCCATTCTGGACTAAGAACGAATAAGGAGGCGGAGAACAGGACCAGTCTGCAGCAGGCGGGCCTCATCCAGCATTCATAGCTGTGCTACATATCAACGTTCTCTAAATAATGATGAACGAGGACGTATGACACAGGACTGTCCATAAGTAAAGTGACCTGCTGCTTTAGGGAAATTACTGTGAATATTTTAAACAGTTAAACTCTATATTTAGTGTTTTTAAAGATTTATGTCGTCGATACAAAGACTCTCTCAGTGTATCGAGCAGAATTATTTGTAGTATTTATATTTACATTTGAACTCCTGGTGATTCTCTCATTCTACGTCTGCTCCGTCTGTAAATATAGATTTTATTAGAAGCTCTCGAGGGTTTGACGCCATGTTCTGGTTTTAAAACAGATTTTGTCTGTAATTCAGAGCACAAAGTGAAACGATCCGTTACACGTTCCGACCGATTCTTCACCCATCTGCGGCGTGAGTATTTGGTGTTTGGTGTGTAACCAATAAAGTTTGTATTCTGTGTGTGTGTGTGTGTGTGTGTGTGTGTGTGTGTGTGTGTGTGTGTGTGTGTGTGTGTGTGTGGGGCAGTCCTGTGCATGACAAACTGGTCCAATTTCAGGCGTGTCTCGGCGGCTGGCTGATATTTGTCTCACTGGCGTTGTTGTTGTTGCGGCCCTTCCTTCCCCCCCCCTCCTCCTCCTCCTCCTCCTCCTCCTCTTCTTTTTAGTTTCCCCTCAGATTTGAATCGGCATGGGGGGGGCACAGTCTGACAGGGCAGAAATAATTACAGTACAACCTTCCCCCCTCGCTGGCTGTTACATTAGCCCTCTTATCAGGCTGCTGAGGGGTAGTTGATCAACTAAGGTCACTGTATCCTGACCACGGCCCAACAGCTACACCACCATTTGGAGATATGATAAATAAAAGCCTGGGGGGGGGGTACGCTGCAACAACACTGTTATCTGCTACCGAGTGCTTTCCGTGTTATTCTCGTTCCCTCCCTGCAGCTCGACTGTGTTCGTGTCTCCGGAGAGAAAAGAGGAGAAAGTTAAAGTAGCGGACGGAGAGAATATGGAAAGTGTCTGTAAGTGATGAGCTGTAATAATAAACACTCTCTGCACCGTCTCTGAAGAGGCTGCTTTTATTTATTTACCTGAGCCCTGCAGTGATAGCGGGAAGCAGCTACATTATTCTAAAGAAGAAAGCGTGGGGGCGGGGTGAGTGGAGATAATAGATGCACCTACATTACCCTGAGTGGGGGGGGGAGTGAGGGGTTAGGAGGGCGAGCGGGACCGATGTGCCCACGTTATTCTAAAGCCAGATGGATAGCGACACGGGGGGGGCGAAGATGGAGAGTGTGAAAATAAATACATCTCCATTATTCTGGAGTCGAGTGAGAGCGAGAGGTTAAGAGTGAGGGGGGGGGGGATGCAGATGCATCATTCTGCAGTCAAAGTGGAACATTTCAGAGGTGGAGGTGAAGCGGGAAAAGTGGATGCACCATTACTCTTGGGTTTCGGCGACAGAGGAGGTTAAGGATGCAGGTTTACCGACATTATTCTCAACCTGATGGAGGAAGACCAGAGTATTAGTGGTGTGGTTGTTCTGTACGGGGGAGTCATAAGAGGATGTCGGTTTAAATGCACATTTACAACCTCCAGCAGGGGGCATCCTCACAATTGTCCTTCATCATCTTGGTTTTTAGCTCTTGCCATTTGTTTGTCTCAGCTAAGTACAACCGAACGCTGAATACGGCATTTTTAGGAGACTGATTGTTACAATTAACGTTGAAGTGAAAACACTGAAAGGGTTAAATTTATAAGACGAAAACAACATGGCCGCAGTGTGTTGGTTCATGAGTCTTCATCCTGTGAACTCAAATCCAAACATGTTTTACTTTGACAGTCAATATATTTTGTTCTTAAGGAAGCTTCTTCTCCACCTTATAACTGTTTTAATACTTTACAATATCGTACATATTTTATCATTGACAGCTCTGCAAAAATAACAAATTGATTCATTCAGTAATACTAAAACACAGAGTTTAAGACATTTTATTTTAAAGGGAACACTCACCTCAACGGCTCAACTGGTGACGCTGAAATGTGACAAAAACACGTGAAAGAAGAAGAGCAGCTTGTTCTCTCTCTCTCACACACACACACACACACACACACACACACACACACGCTGTGTAGTCTCTTAATAAAGTCAGATGTGAATTTGTTCATCTTCCACAGAAACCTGCAGCGTGAATATGACAGCTAGTCGATCCTGTGACGGCCACAATGCAAAGTAACACACGGCCTATATGCCGTGTGTGTGTGTGTGCAGAGCTGACGTGAAGCCTCCTGACAGTTTGTGTGAATCGTTTCCAGTCTCTGATTATCATTTTGAGGTCTGACAGTTTGACTGTCTTTATTAAAACAAAAGAGAGAAGAGACACAACACACAGGTGAGGACAGAGACAGGTGACAGAGGACAGGTGCTGTATTATTGACACTTTTAATAATAATAATAATAATAACATAATATAATAAATAATACCCAGTGCAGCCACAGG